TTACGAAATTCAAAAGGTGGAGGAAAAAGGATTTCTGAAAAGTTTCCGTTTCTACAAACCCAGGCCCTGGGGCGCGGCAGCAGGCACAGATCCCTGAGCAAATATCTCAGTGCCAAAAATATTTTTAATTTTATATACATCTTGGTACCTTCATGTATATGATATGTCTTACTTATTGGTACGAATGTATTTATTTGCGTGAATAGAAGGAATTATCCCCAATTGCCCCGAGGAATATCGAGTACTCTGGGGTAGAGTGAGTGCTAACCAGCCTATTATGTTTTATCTTGTTTCTGTGTATTTGTGTTTGTTATTTGTATTTTTTTTAATCACCAATTGAAGAGGCTCTTAATTACCTAGAGGTTAGCAGTAGGATATCAAAAAGTCGGTTACCGTTATATCATAGAACATTTTTTTAAAGGTAATTTGGGTGTGATATAGAATTATGACCTCCACTGCGGCCGAAGTAGATCTATGGTCGAACCCCTATAAATTATAATCAAACCTTGGAAAGAGCGCTTTTTCTTAGAAGACTAAGCAATTTCCTTGGTTCCTCTTCGCGGACCTCCTTTGGTGTAAGAAATGTCCTGGCTGTACCGTAACCGCACATTCCCAAAGGATATGTAGATGTTTCTGCCTGAAAGTATGTAATTCTGTGCGCCTTTCATCTTTTTGTTATTAACTCCACCGTATGGGCCTCATTTTGGAAAAATGTTAAGGTTAGTCCCCCCCCCCCCTAAACCCTCGCCTTGCCATCTTTGGTCTATCTATGTACCTTATAAGAGGACCTTCTTCTTCTCCTGCACCAATTTTCTTCAAAAGGTCTTTATGATCTATATTCTCTTGGAAGGGTCTGCCAAAGTTGAGCTTTTCTCTCATTGCTGTAGAAGAGAAGGTATGCTTGTTCCTGTTATGTTGAGACATACTAGTCTTTGTAGACTTCGTAGTTTTGGTTTGTGTCTCCTTGTTTAGTGTTTTTGTTCACTATGCTCTATGCTGGAGCTCTAGTCTAACCGTTTTGGTGTAAAACCAATTCGCCATTTTGGGGTTAGCTCCCTAGTTTATAGTGAATAATCTTTGGCCAATGCTTAATTCAGCCATGGCTTTATGCAGAATGTTGCCTATGTGTTTCCCCCATTTGAACCTTTGCTGATCATATAACATGACCAACGAAGTTCACCATAAAATCCTTTCACTACAACAATCTGTACCAGTAGAAATACAGTTACTTTTCTAAATTTACCATGGTTTTGATTGGCCAGGAATAAGGCCGGCTCTATTTCTTTCACAATTCGACATATTCAGTTTGTCCGTAGTTTCTTGCTTTCCTTCTAGTTTTTTATCAGTCTGGCGAGTAATAACAAGTTGATTGAGCCTTGATTAGATCTTTGGTCGGTGTCCTTTGTCTTCTAATATACTATTCATGTGTGTATTTAAGCCTTTGTTCTCGACGGTGCCTTTGTATAATTAAAAGTTAATACTCTCTTTAAACCAATGTTCCGAAATAAGAAATGACTCATCCAATTCAACAAACGGCCTGGGTTCAGATTGATTTGAGCAAACTTACAAAGCAAAACCAAGAAACCTTATAAAGTTTAATTATTGTATAAATAATTAAATAATTGATTTAATGGGACTAGTAGAAAATAAAATGTAAAAAGCGGTTATTTTCTTCCAACAGTCATACGTAGTACATCACAGTGTTAGTTACAAATGTACAGTTAACATATTCTTGTTCCAGTTCGAGTTGGTGTCAGTATTCCGACGTCTTCGGTGGATGTCCGCATTTTTCTCTCGCGCTCGACTCTTTTTCTTGGTTATACGACTATATCTATGAAAAATTAAAAAGCGGGAAAATCAAGCCCTCATGTGTTGAATTACGAAAGCTTATGTAATCTATTATTGGTGTTTTTTCACTTAAAAAACAAAAAATATGTAAATTTCTTGGCAAAGGGTTGCCTAAGAAGTAGTACAAATTATTAAGCATACTTTAATTAAGACAACCAACTTTCAAAGGATTGGAGATGTTACAGAAGAAATTTGTCAAATAAAACACTGTTAATGCTCAGAAATTCCACATTCTGTTATTGCGAAAGATTTCCATCTTCGCCCTGGCTTAAAATGCACAAAGTCAAGCCCACGTCGTCGAATGTGGGTTAGTCGAAAGTTTTCGTTACTTCATATTATAGTAATGGCATGTCCATCTATAACACGCGACTTTAAAAGCTGAGCAATTTTTTTAAAAAACTCCTTTCTCTTTTTTTTCCCTTCCGTGCCTTTGAAGAGGCCGTTGAAACGCGCCTGATTGATAATAGCGAGAAGAGGCGGACTAGAAATATCAGTAATTAAATGAAAGAAATATCCTTTAATTATTAATTTTAAATAATCCGAGTGGGTCGAAGTCACGATAGCTCAAGTGGTAGAGCAGCGGCGTATTGAGTCGAAGGTCGTGGGTTCGAATCCCGCTCGTGACACTGACTTTTTTGTTTCATCCAATACCCTACAGGTTAATTAATTGAAAGAGGTTATTTGGTCAATCGGACCACGAAATCTAATGGATTCATTTTAAACTTTTTTTTCGGGAAATTATGGCGAATTTAGCCTAATGCAACTGACTGTAAATTGCTGCACATGCGAAACATTTTCGGCTCAAAGCCAAGTTTGGCAGAAAATGACTGCCCTCTTTTTTTAAATAATGTCCTGCCACGACAAACTCGGAAAGTTTATCCTAATTTCTCCGCAGAGACGTTGTTCAAAACAGCATAAAAATGTTTCTTTTCCAACTTGATCTATCAGAAGAATCTAGAATTATCTACAGTTTTGTTGTAATTTTCAGCCAGTTAAACAAATCTTATTTAGGTTTTTTGTAATATAAAAAGACTAGATTTAACAGACTTATACACTCAAAGGCAACCCCCTCCAAAAAAAGTGTCTAACCCGTCTCTTTATCATGTCCCACAAGTATTCTGTGTGATTCATGTCAGAAGAACATGCTGGCCAATTCATTGTGTTAATCCCCACATCCTCCAAGAAATGGTGCGTTTTCATGCATTAACATGAAGTTTCCACGATAAATGGGGAATAAAGAATGGGACGGCACCTTCCAGAAGAACTTCCTCAGTGTACCTTGAGATTAAAGATCCATTACGTACGGGCATGGAAGTTGATTCCACCCGATGCCAAGATGACTGTCTTTGAAAAGGTTGTGATACACGCATGTCACATGAAGTGCGTTTTCCATACACACTTCCGGTCGCCTGTTTTCCACAAACCAACTCATCTGTGAAGAAAACATCTCCGCTTGTTTGAGTGTTCAAGTGAGATGCGGATTTGAGAATAGTCGCCTTTCTACTCGTTGCCTTTCCAGAACAAATAATCTGAAGGTGGATGTCTTGAGACTAGGATTCGCACACGAACCCTTCTGAATACTGTTTTAGGACGAGTAGACTATCTACCAAGGAAGCCGTTAAATTATGGTTCCGTAGAGCAATAAAACTATCGTCTCTTTAAGTTTCCTAGGTATCGAATAAATAAGCGACCGGATTTCTTATTATGAAACGGAATCCCATTCTTCAACAAAAGCATTTCAATGCTTTGATGAGGATGTCTAACCCGTCTGTTTATCATGTCCCATATTTATTCTATGGGAGTCAAGAGAACGTTCTGGCCAATTCATTGTAGTAATCCATATCTTCCGAGTAATGTGTCACATCTCGAGCTACACGCGGTCGACCACTGCCTTCTCTTCGATCGAGACTTCCGGTGACACTAAACCGATGTAGACCATCGTGGGTGGTAGGCGGCACACCTACAGCTACATAACGCTACGTCCGTCGTTGGCCAAATCATCTGCCCGGGCTAGATTGTCTCGACTTAAAAACCATACTTTTAAGAAAAGAAAATTAATTGTTTAATCAAATTTGTTTCCATAAAGAAAACAATTTAAAAAACTAATTAACTCACTCGATAACATGACCCTGTAAAGGATGAAAGTGAACTGATTTTTTAAAACTTTTAATCTAAAGAGTGAAAAGGATTAGTAAACCTCTATAAAAATAAAGAAGTTATCCATTTATGTTTAATGGTCTAATTGATCATTTTAATTATTTCAAATAATTATTCTCTTTATGTAAGACCATGGTTGAGTTGAAAAAGCCAGCGTCACAAGCGGGATTCGAACCCACGACTTTTGGCTCAATACGCCTCTTACTCAAGTGGTTAGAACAGCGGCGTATTGAGCCGAAGGTCATGGGTTCGAATCCCGCTCGTGACAATAACTTTGTCACCTCAACCAAGACTTTACATAAAAAGAATAATTAATTGACAAGTTATTAATGTTGTGTTTACGTTTTTAATCAACTAATACTAATCATACCTAGTTTTTATGGAAAATAAACAAATAAATACAAGAGTCCGGTTTTTTAACTGCAAAAATAAGAAACCATTAGTCTAATTACAGTTAATTTATAAGCACTGCATGGATCTGGGCAGACTGGGGAAAACAGCCATAGCCCATAAATTATACCATACGCTGTTTCGTGGAAAGTAGTTAATGGCAGCATAAAAATATATGGAGCACTAATCAAAAGTTCGTGTTCTTGTTCGAATAAACCGACGGCTATTAGTATGAAAAATCGGACTCATTCGTCAAGACTCGGTTATCAAAAGTCGCCTGTTTTCGTCCGATAAACGTTCTTAAGAAAAATCTTTTTCGTTAGGCTCGTCGAACGTATAAACAAACGAGACCGATAACGGTAAATGTGAATATTTTTTCTTTTTCTTCTTTTCTTGGGTTGAAGGGTGTGTATGCCGGTCGTGACTGAAGAAAAGACTGACTGTCGTTGAATGAGAAGAATTTATATAATTTCTACAATATAGGGCGTGCAAAGGAGAATTTCGACACAAGACGTCGCCTTTGCCTTTCTCTCAACTCGCCCTGCGATTCGTGTATTCGATCGAAAACATCTTTTGTGTTCATTTTCAACCCGTTTGTGTTACAGTGCCGTGACTGGCTGGAGCTGAAGGTGGTCGAGGTCAACCCTTGCCTGACCCAACTAGCAGATACCCTGGAAGAGGCGGTGGAATGGAGGAAGGCGCATGCTGAGGTCATACAGAAAATTCAGGTAACCAAATGATGTTTATCTATAAATCGCTGATGTCATCTAAAGAATGATAGTCACCAACATCTCTCCTTAAACATAACACCAAACCTAATACTAAAACATTCACACTGCTATAAAATGTTTAGTAAAATAACATTAACATTGTCATCTTGATTCCGTTCATGGACGGATTATTGAGAGTAGTCCGTTGTGTGAATGCTGCGTGACCCGAGGGCGTATGCAAGAAGATGGCATGATTCGTTCCGGCTTCCTTATAGGGCAATTCGCTTGTTATACTCGCTTTCTCTGCGGCAGGCCTGCGATTTGGGCCCAAATTCGGCGGAGGGTGGTAAATTATCTTGATTTATTGGGACCGCAATATTGACCCTAAAAACCATTTACATCCGGGTTCGGTTGCTGAACCCATGGTGAAAATTGTAGGAGTTGGCGCAATTTTTCTGAAAACTTCACTTATGAGTCACTTAAAAAGAAAAAAAAATTATAACACATTTTTTGACGTTTTAAAACATCTTGCTAATAATTTAAATGATAAATACTATAAAAAATTTCTGGTATTGGTTAAATCTGGGAATATTAACTAGTTTATGCTTCTGTTTATAAAAGTGTTTCTCAAAAAAAAAAAAAAAAAAAAAAAAAAAATCATTTTTAATCCACCATTTTCATTCAGAAGAGAATAAAACCTTAGAAAGACCCAGTTTATTCTGTTCATTATATTTATATACATTTGTAACTGTTATATAAAACAAGAAACTAATTGTAAGATGTAAATATAACAAATTCCTTTTTTCTTGCCTCTTTCCTCCTCTTTTTCTCTTTCTCTCTCTCTTCCACTTTCTTTCGCTATCATTCTTTCTTCATTCATTTTTCTTTCTTCATTCCATCTTTTCCTTTCTCCTCTCCTCTCCTGTCTTCTCTCTCTTTCTCTCTCTCTCTCACTCTCTCTGTCTCTTTCTTTCTTATCTCATCTTTCTCCTCTCATTATTAATCTTCACCCACCTTTCTCTATCTAATGTTTTAATTAATTAGGAAATATTTAGACAGAAGATGCAAAATTTTTGATAATTACGAGCATTCCCTATTCTTTATTCACTCTCATCCATCTATAAAAGTGTTTCTAAAAAAAAAAAAAATCATTTTTAATCCACCAATTTCATTTAGAAGAGAAGGAACCATAGAAAGATCCAATTTATTCTCTTTGCTAAATATATTATATACATTTGTAACTGTTACATAAAATAAGAAACTAATTGTAAGATGTAAATGTAACACATTCCCTATCACTCCTTATTTTTTACTTGTCTCTATTCTCCCGTTTCTCTCACTATCCTTTCTTCTATGTACTATCTTTCTCTCTCCCTTCCCTTTATTCCTATCTCTTTTTTCATTCATTTTACTTTCTTCATTCTTTCTTTCCCTTTATTTCTCTCTATTTCTTTCTTCATTCATTTTACTTTCTTCATTTTCTCTTTCCCTTTATTTCTCTCTCTTTCTTTCTTCATTCATTTTACTTTCTTCATTCTCTGTCTGTCTGTCTGTCTCTCTCTCTCTCTCTCTCTCACTCACACTCACTCACTCACTCACTCCCTCCCTCACTCTCTCTGTCTCTCTCGTTTTTATCTCATCTTTCTCCTCTCACTCTCAATCTTCACCCACCTTTCTCTATCTAATGTTTCAATTAATTAGTTAATTTTTAGACAGAAGAAGTAAAATTTTTGATAGTCACAAGTATTCTCTATTCTTTATTCACCCTCATCCATTTCTTATCCCCTTTGTTTCCTCTCTCGCTGTTTATTCGCTGTTTTCTTTCTTCATTCTCTCTTTCCCTTTTTCCTCTCCTTTGCTCTCTCTCTCTCTCTCTCTCTCTCTCTCTCTCTCTCTCTCTCTCTCACTCCCTCACTCTCTCTCTGTCTCTCTCTTTTTTATCTCATATTTCTCCTCTCACTCTCAATCTTCACCCACCTTTCTCTGTCTAATGTTTCAATTAGTTAATTTTTAGACAGAAGAAGTAAAATTTTTGATAATTACGAGTATTCCCTATTCTTTGTTCACCCTCATCCATTTCTTATACCATCTCTATCCCCTTTGTTTCCTCTCTCTCTACTCTTCTTTCTTTCTCTCTCTCTCTCTCTCTCTTTCTCTCTTTCTGTCTCTGTCTCTCTCTTTCTCTCCCTCTCACTCACTTACTCACTCATTAACTCACACAATTCACCTAATACGTAAGTATAATTTTTTTTGTGGCTCATGTTTCCTTTGAGCAAATGTAAAAAAAAGAATCTATTTTAGAGCCGGGGATACTCGATTCTTCTGATTTGTTACCATTCCGGAACGAAATTTATTCAAAGGAAGTAAAAACAAATAAACCGGAAAGAAATCCGCGGATGATCAGGGCGTGGCGGGTCGAAAATAGAATCGAGCCAATCTTAGGGAGCCTGTCTCCAAAAGTAGAAATGAACGAACCGTGGACAGTTGTAACTCATCTAATCTATTATCGCCTCCAGGGTCAATAGATTCAATTAATCAAATTTTCAGTTTTTCTCATAACTTAATTGCTATTCTAAGAGAAGATTGTATCCATTAATACGTTGATAAATTAATAATTTTTTTGGTCACTTTTCATGATCAGATTCCAGAAAAGACACACCAACCGCAGTATTCTTTTAGCCCCCATTGATTTATAAAAAAGTATTTTTGAATAATTACCGTACAATATTTTCATACATGAAATTAAGTCGTGTTTTGGCGCTTTTGACCACTAACAGACTTTGATATAATTTAATATATATTGATCACTAATGTTTTATGATTAGTGAGTTCCTAAAGTCGCTGGTGTTTTGACGAAGAAAACATTTTTTTTCTTTTTACTTTCTCAGCCGTAGACATTTGATTATACAAGAATGATTCATTCTCAGACAGGACCGATCATTTTTCATGGTTACGCCCCTTCTAGAAGGATTTGGGACTTGTCCCCCTCGTTCGTAACGGCTAAATGGCAGCCCTTTCGGAAAAATAACAAAATAAAAAAAAATTTCACAATCTATCATGATCTGAGGAATTGTGTTAAATCATCAACCCTGAGGGTTTCGTGATTAACATGGACGTCAATAAAAACGTTTCTCTGGTCATTTCCAGTAATTGCTTTTGTAATGACAGAGATTGTGATTCAGCCTTAACATCGGCTATCAAAGGACTTGAAAAACAGCCAGGCCTTCTTTACTTCAATTAAGAAGAATCGATAAGCCTACTCGTGGATAGTCCACCCTCTTTTCTTTCCCTCCATTTGTTAAATTAAGTAATTAGTTTTAACGAATTGTTAATTAATTAACTGTTCAATCCGTCATCCCTTGCGTTGTAACACGACCAGGCGAGAGTTTTATCCAACCGTAATTTAATATTAAAAAAATTCAAACAAAAAATTTAAAATAAAAGAAAATAGTAGAAAAAAAACAAGGTTCAAAATTTAAGGGCCATAGGTTAATTCGTACAGATCTGCTTTATTTCTTATGATCTTTGAAAGGGGTAATTGATGACCTCAGTCTTTTGTACACCACCAAATGTTGTTGTTCATTTTTCTTTTTATGAAGTTCGAAGCTGGCAGAGAACAACTTCGGGATTTCTTCATTTACTTTTTTTTCTTTTGTTGGAGTCCCGACAATGGAAACTGGCCTGGCCGGTAGTACATGAATGACTCTTCTGTTTACTTCTGTCTGAAAAGGTGATGTCATTAGAATGTGGGCGTGAGTCGTGAACCAGCCTTGGACCACATTCTAAATCGCAGTATGAGTTCAGTGTTGATTTAAATCTTGACCCTGGAAGACGATCAAACTAATAAATTTGTCAAACGAACGGCTCGTCAGATTGGATGTATAACGCCATTTTGTGTCATTCCTTTTTTTTTTGCTGAATCTCGTAATTCTAATTACAGGCTTTATTGTATCGGGAATTTATATTATTAGAATTTTATCGGTCTTAATAAATTCGAAGAAAGGTACCCAAAAATATATGACGCCAGTAATCTTCATCCTGAGTCTTTTCTTCATTCAACATGCCCGACCATTTTCAATACTAATAAATCAGTTAGAATGTAGCTTGTTAGCAGATAAAATATTTAATGATCATTGTTCAATAAAGGAAGGAATAAATAATAATAAGAAGAAGAAGAAATTTAACTGCGAGCTCGAGTTCAAAAAAGTAATGATCACTTAATACAAACCTACAGTTATTAGTGCACACATAAAGGGTATTTTTACGAGTATCCATGACACAGTAATGAATAATGCCCAATTGACCCTAAGTCACTTGATTTTTAAAAAAAGTTTTTTCCAAGGAATACGGTGATAGTGGTTTTATCAGAAAGTGTAATGTTGGAAGATAAGAAATAAAGAATTTTCTCAAACTATAAAAGCTATCAAACATTTATATAATACAACAATTATATGAAATATTTCATTTAATTATTATTAGCATATGAAATAATTAAGGCTTTTTGTTGTTTCAAGTTTCAGGCATTTTCCAAATGGAATGACAGCAAGTTTTTAAACATAAATAGACAAAAAATTACACGTTACAAACTCATACTTTTGAAAATTAATTTCACCCTTTTGCAAATTAAATTCACATTTTTGAAAATTAAATTTACTCTTTTGAAAATTAAATTCACCCTTTTACGAATTAATTCACCATTTTGCAAACCAAATTCACGTTTTGCAAATTATATTCACTCTGTCAAATCAAATTGACATTTTTGCAAATTGAGTTCACCCTTTTGCAAAATAATTTCATTATTTCGCAAATCAAATTCATCCTTTTGTAGATTAAATTAATTTAAAAATTCAAATTCATTCTTTTGTAAATTAAATATATCCTTTTTGCAATATAAATTCACTATTTCACAAATCAAATTCATCCTTTTGTAGATTAAATTAGTTTAAAAAATCAAATTCACCCTTTTGCAAATTAAATACACCCTTATGCAAATTAATTTAACACATTTTCAAATCAAATTCACATTTTTTAGAATTAAATTATTTTCCAAATATCCATATTTTTGCAAATTAAATAGATTTTTTCCAAAGTAAAATCACATTTTTGCAAATTAAATTGAATTTTTTACAAAGTAAATTAACATTTTTGCAAATTAAATTCACCCCCTTTTCACATCAAATTCATTTTTTTTGCAAATCAGATTGATTCACATTTTTGCTAATTAAATTCATTTTTTGTAAATTAAAATCACCCTTCTGCAAAATAAATTTATTCTTTTTCAAATTAAATTTACCCTTTTGCAAATTAAATTCACCCTTTTTTCAAATCAAATTCATAGTTTTTGCAAATCAAATTCACCCTTTTCCAAATAAATTCATCCCTCGGGGCATCGGTGGCCGCAATGGTTTAGGGTCGACATGGTGCTCATCACTGTAAGGTAAAGGTCCTGGGTTCAAATCCAGCAGCTCTGCATTCAATTTTTTCAAAAACTCCAGCACCCCGAGGGTTTATATGATCTCTGCTGTTCGAATCCTTGTTAAAAAAAAAAAAAAAATAATAATAATAAATTCATCTCTTTGAAAATCAAATTCACTTTTTCCAAATTATATTCATTCTTATCTTCTATGTATATGTATTGAATACATAATGCATCTGTTTCTACACATGTATTACATTTAAAAAAACTCATCAAATAATGTGAATTCATATTTTTGAGATATGTCGCTGAAGCAATGACAACTATAGCTCTTAATGCTGACTTGCTTACACTATGTTTTATGAGTTAATTACAACAGTTGAACTTACATTTTCAATATTTTTCAGAGCAAGAAGAGTCCTGTCAGTGAATTAAAAGACCAAGCTGAGAGCGTGCTTTCAAATCAGAACACTAGTCCAAAAGTGTATGCAGCAATGACTGACTCCCTGACAGCAGTTTGGGGAAATGTAAATAAACATCTTGACACCAGAGCTCAAATACTTGACCTCAATGTTGCCTACCACAGGTACAAAAATATTTTTAAAATGTTAGTGTCAAATAATTTAATTTTGACTGTGTTTAGATGTGCTACGGAATTTTTCGAATACTGTAAATGTCTCGATAACCTCGCTTCAAGTGAAATTCCTATAGAAATACCAGAGTTAAGGGAAAGGCTAAATGAGCTCAAAGAAGGGCAGAGACTATGTCTTATTGCACTCAATTCTGCATTGAACAAAGGCACTACATTGCTTGAACTTCTGACACAAATGGAGGAAGAAGGAACACTAGATTCTCGTCCTCAACATATACAACTGAACGCTCAGTTAGGTAAGTGATATAAATAATTTATTTCAATTATACACTTATTATTGCATCTTTTTTCTCCAGCAAAGGTACAAGTAGAAAGATGGCTAGAGCAACTTCGCGAAAAACGATGTAAAGTACAGGACGTCATTGACAGTTCGAAGTTACAACTTGAACAGTGTCTAGCATTAGCTCTGATCACTGCTGATCTCACAATGCTCAAAAGACTTTTGACCGAACGAACAGACGCATTACTGAATACAGTCGATGAACTAGGAGATGGTGCAGCATCGGCCCAACTCTTGCTTCACGAGCACAGAAAAATAATTCCCGAAGCCAAGGTTACTTTTTTATTTTGCATTATTTATAGAAATGTGATATATTATTCATAGAAATATTAAACATCAAATATATTATTTATAGACATTTCTATTTTCAGGAGATGCAAGAACCAGCACTGAAAATTGTAAGAGCGACTGAAGAGTTTGCAGCTGGTGGGCATTTTGCAGGCCCAGAGGCATTGAGAGAGGCCTTCCTCCTCCTTGAACAAACTGCCACCTACCTGAACCAAATCGACCAAAGGGAAGAAACTTTACAACGAGCGATCGATTTCTTCAATGCTGCACAATCAGTAAGTATTTTATTCGGCATCATCAAGCTTAAAATTTCATATAACGTTGACGGGGTTTTAGCAATTATTATAACTCTCGTCAAGAAAAAAAAAAAATTAAAAAATTGTGTAACAGAAATTTACTGTTATTTATGGTACGTATTTTGTCAATAATGTTAACATTAAAAAAAAATTATATTTTTACTTGTTTGAATATTGAAATGATTATGTTTTTTAAAACATAATTTAAGATCAACATATTAGAAATCGACAATAAACCACCTGTGGTTTATGTTTAGTTTAGAAGCCTTCTTGTTATATTCTTCATTATAGAAACTGTAAAGGAAAATTATGCCATTGAGCCAGCATATTTTTGAGTAAAGGAAGTGTTTAGCTCAATGTCAGGATAGATTAAAATATGAAGCATACTGTATATACATCATGTGGAAGCAAGCCAAGATTTACATAGAGGGGGATATTGTAGGTCAATCCGAGAAAGAAGAACTCATTTCATGCCAAAATAAGCCCTATTGATAAATCAGTTTGAAAAACTAATTAAATTAGGTTGTCGTATTTCTGCTCATTAAGATGTGACTTTATAGTTAATAGGATATTTTTATAAACCAAGGCAAATGAAACCACAATCTTTATATGTTTAATTTTTTTTTGTGATAATAGGCTCTGGTTAAACTTGATCAACTTGAAGTGCAGCTAACGACCGGCGACCTGGGGCTGGGGTTCAGCCAAACATCCCAGCTGCATTCCAACATCTCCAAGACTTTGGAAGAAGTAACCACCCCGTCTCTTAACCAAGGGTATGCACTTCTCTCCGATGTACCTGGAGCTAAAGTAAGTCCAACTTCAAATTTAAAAAAACTTGTAATTGGATATATAATTTTTATGTTGTGCCAGGGAGTGAAAAGAGCTGTGGAACAAATCGAAAACAAAAAGATAAGCCTTAGTGTCCAATGTACGGCACAGAAGGAAGAAAACATTAAGGCTACACAAATGTATAATAACTTTATTGAAAAACATGGAGCAGTAAGTAAATTTATTCTAAACTGTAATGGATTCTAGTAGAACAAAAGATTTAGTCTGAACTATCTGTCCAGCATGTTAAACCCAAAGAAACTGCACATTTTTGCAATTACATCCAAAACTCCAAAACATTTTAAAGATTATTTTGTATATTCTGGGATTCCATTTTTTATATATAGATACTATAAAATGACGTTTAATAGATAAAAATGTAATCGATTTAAATTTTAGCTACAAGCATTTCTTACAAGTATGGATGAATACCTCAAGGGTATCAATGAAGTCGGGGATGATCTGACATCTGCCAAAGGATACCTTCAGATATACCGAAATAATTTAAACGACTTACAGGTAAATACAATGCCCCTTTTCATTTAAAACACACATCTAAAAAAAATCTCTTGTTGGACACAGAACAAAGGGTCAGAGATAAACGCATTGCTATCAACAATCCCTGGAATACTGGAGGTGGTCGACCAAAACAGAGGCGAAGAGGTAAAGGAGAAGGGTGACAGCTTGCACGAATCATGGTCAAGGCTGATCCTAAAGCTTGAACGAAGAATTAGGCACTGCTCAAGCTATACAAAGGCTCACGATCTGGGTAAGAGACTCCACAAGGAAATAGACGGCGTTGTTAAAGCTATGGACTCTGGTGATGAAACCGGTGCACGATCTCTCTGGGTCAGTTGCCAGCAGCTCAATGCACAGTTTAACAACACAACATCCAACTTTAATAAAGACTCAAGGGAGGTTAGTAACTACATGTTTTTACATTACGATTTACTAGAAGAATTCTTTTACATGAAACACAATAGAACATAAAAAATTACTTTACATGTAATTTTGATTGAATTTTATAATGTTGATTTAAACTAGTGATTATGCTAACAAATATAAAATGAAAGTTCAACAAATTGTTTTTTCATTTTTCAATATTTTTCTGCAGCAATTGTTAGAAAACATTTTTATTCCAAAAGAAAAGTTAACATAAATCACACAAAACAAGTAATAATTTAACAAGCAATTTATTAGAAATTAAAATGTAATTACTGTTTAAAATATATATTTGAAAACCAAAATATATAAATAAGTTAAAGTGTTGCCAATAGAGAAAGAAGTTAAAGGTCAATAACTAAATCTTGGAAAGTTTGTGATGAAGGCCATGATAATCTATTTGCTTACTGACAGACATGAAAACCCGACGGGCAGTGTGTAGATCAGTACTAAAATTAGCATTAGATGATGTTTTTAAGTAAACTTACTAATTTTAAAACAGTTTTACAAAGCTGCCAAGAACTGGCAATACCCGTCTGAATCGGAGTCCAGACGGGGCAAAAATTTCTATATCTCACTTTCTAAGTTTTCCTTATATCTGGAAATTTGGGGGGTAATTAAAGCAATTAGTGACTCTGGGACTTTAACGCCTTTTAACCATGGCTCTGTGCCAAACTGTCTTGTTTAGGTCGGGACTGACGGCGGGCTAGATCTAGAAGTGGCAAGGCAGTGTCTTGCTGAACTTTCAAGAGAGTTGGAAGCAAGAGTGGCAGCAACTGCCCAAAGGTGGACCACATTTGTGGCTGAAAACGAAAACCGCCAAAAGGATCGACAGCTCTGGGAGACAAACATGGCGGCTAGTAATAAGGTAAGACATTTAAATTTTCGTTTTCTTCTAAATTTGACAGTTTCTTGAAAGGCTAGATCTCAGATAAACATTGTTAAACAATTCAACAAAAACATTTATATTATCACAGTGATTTTTTAAAGAATCTATTTTCTTTTTTAAATTGATTGTAATGTATTTATTCAGAATTTCATCACAACGGTAAAGATTATAAGGCTGATTGAAATTACATATATTAGAATGTTTCATGGTAAAAAAAAAAATTAATTTCAAGCTTTAAAAATGCTGTATGCTCTAAATGAAAGAAAATTCACTAGTTTCGTGATCCGCTTGACCAATTAATATCATACAATTAATTAAGGTTTTTAGTTGAGATAAAAAAGTCAATAGCACGAGCGGGATTCGAACCCACGATCTTCGGCTTGATACGCCGCTGCTCTACCACTTGAGCTATCGTGACCTTGGTCCACTCGGATACCAACTTTTCCCTCCTTTTTGCCATTTTGCAGGAAGGAAAATTCAAAAGGTGTGGTTGAGATGGGAAGTTGGTGCCCGAGTGGATCGAGGTCACAATAGCTCAAGTGGTAGAGCAGCAGCGTATCAAGCCGAAGATCGTGGGTTCGAATCCCGCTCGTGCCATTGACTTTTTTATCTCAACTAAAAACCTTAATTATTGTATAAAAGAAAATGTTTACCAATGTAAGAAAGAATATTTAAAGGAAATATTATTGGAAAATTTGAATATTGCAAAGACAGAATATTGCCGACGTGTTTTGAAGTGTTGTGTTTGTTAAGCTTGCTCTTAATTTTGTGTAGACTGAAATTACAAAAAAATACAAGAAACAAACACATGTGACCCTCTTACTCCCCTCAGTGAACTCAAGTAGCAACCGGTCACTTATTGGGTCTATCTTCATTTGCGGGCCTGTTGACTGGTTCGTCAAAGATTATTATTGTTTAAACTTTAATCTTCTAACTTATTTACATGATCTGTGGACAAAATGATCAGATTAGCTCCTTAAGATTTTTTTTTTAAATTGAATTTTACATTTTATACTTGAATATTGGAATTTGGAGGGCTTAACTTTCAACTTACCATAGGGTGTCTTGGACATTTGTTTATTTGTAGCATTTACATATTAGTACTACACTCAATTAAAATTCCATTGTCTACGTCAGGATTGGAATCCAGAATTGTTAGCTTGGAAAAATCGAGTTGGACTCCCTGTCCACTCAGCCATTGCGATGTGTAATTTTAATGGTTGCTTTTATTGAAATTATGTCTAAGTTATTACTATATTGCTATGTTTCTAATTTTGTCCAGTAGTTAATATCCTTGTTAAAATATTTTTCAGTCACAATCTGTATGACAGCATACTCATCTTTATCCAAACTCCTAAGAAACTTGTTCTCATAAAGTGTCAAAATCTTAAACCTGTTGATATATTCAATATTAATATTTTAGACAAAAATCTTCGTATATTTTTGAATATGAACTCATAATAGTGCCAGTTGCAAAATTCAACTCTGTGTTAAAATAAATCAAAAAACCACAAAGCTTTTTATCGCTTTCTCAATTTGTATTAAACCCTCAGAGAAAACTAGGCTCAACTACACCTGTTTTTTCTGGCAGCAGTCCATTTGGAGTTAAACATTAATGGGAGACTTGTGATCTAAACAGAGCAGTAATTTCCTGGCTTTAACATTCGCTCGATCAGATTTGAAAATAAAACTATTTTAAATAAGTTTTTCAGAACTTTATGGAAAATTTATCGATGCATAGGTTATATTTATACATTTTTATACATAGGGTTACAAATTGTGGGTCCATAATTAATTTAAACAAACACTTAATAATTGTTATAAATAATAATTTGTTTAATAAACTGTTAAATTAGAATTTATTGAGGTATCTTCATAAGGTCTTAATGATGAAGTAGACTTTTTGGGTTCACCAATTAATTTTTTTTTATTAGTTTTTAATTTACTCATTGGGTAAAGTAAGAATATAATTAGAGTTTTTATGAAAACAATATAATTCTTCAATATCTCATTCTAACTCTGTTAATATATGTATTTTTCAATAAATAGACCCCGTGGATGGTGATATAAATCACCAAAATCTTGTCGAATCCAAAAGGTCTAATTCACCACAAAGATCTTATGAAGATACCTCAATAAATTCTAATGTGATTACTGTCAGGTTGATAAAAACTCCAATTTTAAATTTTTAAATTTTAATAAAGTAGTTTTAACAAATTAATAGGCTCATATTTTTAAAGTTGAGTTTGTCTTTTGCAAAACCATATTCAATTTATTATTTTTAAATATGACTAAAACATTTGTCAAAAACATAAATTTAGTATCTAATTCCAAAAGAGCGATCTCAAAGGAAGTAACATTGACATTATTCAACTGAAATTAATTATCCTAACCTCCAGACAAAGACCTTGTTGCAAGTTTAAAAAAAGAACTGTGTCGAACCTAGATTGTAAACTATTGAACCTATTTTTCATGTTGACACAGTCTATTTGGCACAATGACAAACGAATGGATCAAAAGCAAGGGGAAATTTGTTTTGAAGTCCACTACGCATCCATAGTAAAAGGATTAATCTTAACCTCACAAGATTAAAGAAATCTCAATGGTAAACACTGTTGAAATAGAAACATACAGATTTATATTGAATATATGTTCATAGATTTTTAATTAAAACATTGACAATTTCTTAAATGGGTCTTTATATTTTTTTATGGTCAGGTGAAAAACATATACTCTTACTAGGTCTTAACAGTTTATTTATTAAACAGTCAATGATACCTTTATATACTATTTTTAAATAAAATATAAATTGATGATGATGGGAACTAGGAAGTGGGGTTTTTGTTCCTCAAGCACTGCAGCCTTCTGACTTATTGTACTTCCCTAGTTCTTCAATTCGGAGCAATTGATTCAATCCTACTCCTAAAAAGTACGACGGTCATTGACTGTCCTTCCTTTCTCTGGGTTTTCTTTGTATCTCAGGTTATGTCTCCATTGAGCAATTACTTTGCATTTAAAGATGATATGGGTGGCTATTTCTTCCTTTTCATTGCATAACCTACAAATGGGGGTCATCAGTGAGTATGGCCATGTTGTGTAGATATTTCCTCAGATGCCAGTGATTAGTTAGTTCTATCACTCTTCTGTTTAGTCCTCTCTAAATGCAGTCAGTCTTGTGAGGGTTGTTTTTAGCAAACTGTGTTTAGCAATACAGTTTTTCCACTTCTACTTTTCCTTTTGTCTTCTTTGGATCCATTCCGTGATGAAGGATTCTGTGCTTGTTTTTGTTATCCCAAGAATAAGTTAGGTTTTGCAGATCCTCCACTGGCCAGTGTGTGTGTTTTACATCACCCAAAATTCCCTTGTGACCTGGTACCCAAGATAACATCAAGTGTGTTTCCCCAGGTTTTGGAGATTTTGGATTCATTCATTGACTAATTTTGATGTGATTTTTTTTTACTTGCTAATGATTTAATATCTACTTGGCCAGCCAATCTTATAAAGATTTTTTCGCAAAACATCTTTTAAGATTTTCAAAAGCACACACATTGATGGTTGCTCATGTTTTGGGATGAACGGTCGGTTCCTTCATTTGTTTAGGAACCATCTGGCTACCATATCATTGTATCAGATATCTTCCAGAATCTTCTTCTCCTTTTCAGTCTGTTGAGATTTTATAGAATGTTTCCAGGATCATGTAGTCAGCCCCATTTCCAAAAGTAGGTATCTGATTTTATTAATTGGTTGTGTGCTCGAAGGATTTAGTTTCAATCCCTTTTTGATTGTTTCTGTTCTATAAATGTTCTTTTCCTCACTTCTCATTGCATAAATATTTCCAATGAAGAACAGTGGTTTTAGTGGAATTGACTGGGTTGTTTTTAGTGCCCCTGTGATACAAAGATTTGCCAGTCTTTGTATATTGCCTAATGTTTGGGTATCTTGTTTTTGGTGAGCTTTGGCTTGGAAATTATTACTGCATATAGCATATGGGTCATTTTTGGTTTTAGTCCCAAAAAACATAAATTACAATGCTAATGAAAGTGTAAAATTAATATACAATGCAAATTTGAAGTCAGCTTAGTTGGCTCTGTAATTTTATTGAGAAATTTTTATCTTCCATTTTTAAAAGCAATATGCAATCAATTTCTCTGTATTGCTATATTTGACAATTTTCAGACTGTTGATTGGGTTTCTAAACTTGACGCTCAGCTCTATCCTGTATTAAATCCAGAGCTGCACAGTGCCAGGCAGCTGAGCAATCATGTTGAAGAAAAGCTCAACACAGTACTGCCAGAGATAAAGAGGGCTCAACAAGAAATCCAGCTCCGTATAGAAACTGCTGAAGCTCTCCTTAGCAAAGGTAAACCTGTTCTTGAATAATTTTTTATGCAATGTTATTTACATTAATATCAATCCAGGTGATATCAAAGGAAGTAATGAAGGGATACCATCAAGGCTGAAGGAGCTTAACGAAAAGCTACATACTATATCTGCAGATTATCAAGTCCTGTTGGAAAAATTGCTTACTTTTTTCAACAACCTTTCACAGGTGAATATAACAGAATAATAAATGAGACGATAACCTGTAAGTTGTATTTCTTGTTTAAGGTTGAGACCCGTGTTGAGACGTTACAAAGGGAGCAGAAAACCATGGCCGAGGCTCATAACTTGGATGAGGCACTGTTGCAACTTAGGGAGTTTGAATCGAACAAACATGCATTAGCAGAGATGTTCAATTTGTGCCTGATTGAAAATAGTCACATTAACAATAAGATCAAAACTCAGGTGCATACAAAATTCTAGAATATTAATAATTAAATAGCGTAACAGATTAAACTCAGATAATTAAAATATAATAAAAGAACAATGGAAAAAAGTAATTTTTTCAATTAACTTTTTGTCGTGTTCTTTATGAATGTAAAGCATTAGCTATGATACAACCACTTTGGTAAGGCAATTCTCTTGCCAAAAGAGGTGCACAACAAGGCACTGAGGAAAGAGCATTCTTATATGAAAAAGTGCACTTTCAAAGGTATGGCTATGGATTCTACATGGCTCTGTAGGTCGCAGTGGAGGAAAGAATTTTTAAAATCTTTATTCAACCCCCTCCCCTAATAAAAAAATAAAAAAACTGCAAGTATTTACTGATTCTCAAAAAAATTTGGGTGTTTAGGAAGGAATGGCTGCGGATTCTGACATACGAACAATTGACAAAGCTGTAGACACATTGCGTTACAACTGGCAAAGGTTGTGTACTACCAGAGAGACTGAGCTGGCTAAGCAGGAGGCAAGGTGCCGGTTCGATCAAGACCTGATGGAAGCTGATCAGTCTCTTCATACACTTGCATCTCAACTTACAGCAACCAGAGGACGATACGGTGAAAACCTGGCAGAAGCAAAGGCTACTTCAACTGCTTTTGCCACTTTTGAAAAAACTATTGAGGTACTTATATCTTATTTATTCTATTTATTTTACTTATAGTTGATTTTTAATTTTTTACAGCTCTTGGAAGTACGTTTGAAAGAGTTCACTACTGCAGGGCAAGAGTTGACGGGTGGTGAGAGAGGAGAGCATATCGAGAGGGAGTTGCAAGCGATGAAAAACATGTGGACATCGGTAAAAGAACAAGTTGTAGACACAAGGCGCCGAATCGACTTGGCTATTGTATTTTTCCAGCTCGTCGAAGAGGTGAATTTTATTAAATTCATTTTTTAATTTAAGTTCTAAATTCATTTTTTTAATCCAGGCTGAAGAGTGGTTCAAAGAAGGCAATAGGGTCCTACTTAGCATAGCACAGAGGTCAACAAAAGTCAAAAGCCCTGAAGAAGCTCAAGCTCTTCTAAAAGAAATACACGTTTTCCTCAAACCAGGAGAAGAAAAGCAGAATCATAGGATTGAAGAAATTACAAGACTTGCCCGTGAGCTTTATGGTAAAAAAATACAACTACAAACCCACTTATTTAAAACAATTTCAATAATAGTTGTAAAATCAATAGGTGAAGATGTTGAAGACCATCTCAAGTTGGTTAAATCAAGTAGTAAAGAGATGATGGATTCATTTGCACAAATTAGCCAGAACTTAAAATCAATAGCAGAAAGGATAAACACGCCGACCCCAGAGCCTATTGTGGAACTGATGGATGTTGAAGAGGGCCCAAAAAAAGTTTACGAAGACTGGCATTCCTCTCAAGTTGTCACGCAAGTTTCATCAACAGCATTTCATGTTGAAAATGTTAGTAATTATTAAACACACTAAAATGTTAGTGGATTATAAAGTCTAATAAATATTTTTCCTTCTAGTTTGAAATTAGGACAGAAGAAGCCTCTCCTGTTCACCATGAGAAAGAGAGACAGAAAAAATCGCCCAGCCCTCCTCTGAAAAAGACTAAATTTGTGGAAGAGGTTCATGGAGAAGCTCCGAGTTTTGTTTCTAAACTTCAAAACACATCAGTAGATGAAGGGTGTCGGTTCACATTCGAATGCCGGTGAGCTTTTTTTTACAAAAAATATCCATGTTGGCAATTAAAAATCAATGTTATTATTTCAGTGTCACTGGAAATCCAGAACCTGAAATTGTCTGGGAAAAAGATGGCTTGGTAATAGAGAACAATCCAGACTATCAGGTTAAATATCATGACGGACTGTGTACTTTAACGATCGAAGAAACTTTCACAGAAGACTCGGCTAAGTTTTCCTGCAAAGCTACCAATTTTGCTGGGGCGGATGAAACAAGTGCATATCTTTCTGTCAGAGGTAGATGAACAAAAATGAAAATAATAATACAAAAAATAATAAACTGGTAATACATTTTTCAGAATGTGAACCAGAAATTGAGCTTATTCCATCATCGTTTGTAACACCACTGAGTACTGTGAGCTGTCAAGAAGGTGAAAAATTAGTACTTAAGTGTCATGTTGCTGGAGTACCTCTTCCTACTGTCCAGGTATTTGTTACACATTTTATTTCAAAGCTGGTTTTAATTTAAATATCTTACAGTGGTTTTATGGCGAAAAATGTCTCGACGATGAGCCAAATTTGCTCATTACGTTCAACAATGGTGAAGCAGTTCTGGTAAAAGAAAATGTTAAAGTTGAAGACCAAGGCCAGTATTCTTGCACAGCCACAAACCCAAAGGGCACACAGACTAGTACAGCCAAAGTCATAGTAAAAAGTATGTATCATTATTTTTCACTGACAAAGTAGTTAAAATTAAATCATAACTTCACTTTTGTTGCCTTTCTTCCCCCCCTTTTATGAATTGTTTAATTTTTGTTATTTGTATGCCTTTTCTTAAAGGTGCATTAAAAAAAATCCTTCCCTGGGGGATGGGCATCAGGGAGTTTAGGCACATTAACACTGTGCTCGTAAAGGTCCAGGTTCAAATCCAGTAACCATGATATTAAAAATAAATAAAAATAAAATGTACACTGTTTTCTTTCTAGAAAATTATTTTAATTTGAAAATGAATGCTAAAATTGTTTTTAAATTGTCTTATTTTTAGTAATAAAGGTAAATATTGAAAAGAAAATAATGATAAAAGTGAATAAATAATCAATAAAAAGAATAATANATTTGGCCATCTTTTAAAAACACCTAAAAAGGCCAAAAAATTAAAAAAAATTAAAAAAAATTAATTTAAATAAAGTTATTAGAATTGTTGCACAACTTGCTGTACAACTATTTTGGTGTTGGAGTTAATCCTTGCTCTTGGTAGTTCGTCTCGCTGATAATATGACAATAATAAGCTAAATATATTTTTAAATTCATTCCCATCTAACTACCAAACTTGAGTAGAGTGATAGAATATTTGATATTTCTCTATTTTGTTTTGGAATCACATCAATCATAGTAAAACAAGAATATATATTAATTATTTCATATTTCATTTGCATAATATAAACTGCACCTTTCAATTTGGCAGACTATCGTGAGTATCATGCCAAATTTTAATGCAGTCATCAATATCACCGACATGGAAAATTAAACACCCCTGGCATTGCAAATAAGCCCAATTAATACGGATAAGTTTGAACCTTCACAAATCAATTGATATCACGATTTAATTTTGCAGCCCGTCTGTCCAGATTAAATCGGCGTTAAATCTGTACAACTTTCAAATTGACAATTAACAAGGTTGAGGGGTTGGGTTTGTACACATGGCAGGTGGGTACATTTGTGAGTTATGTATGGAAGGGCATTTGGCCAACTAAGGCCTAATACACCTGTCACGTATCATCAAGGACGTTGACTCCTGATGCTAGCTTTCTGCTAGGAAATTGCTGGAATATGCAACTCTTGTGCACCAGGGGGTACAAAATTATTTGGGCTTATTTTTTTATATTTAAAACTAAAGTTCTCTCAATTAGTTATAACAACAATGCAGACTGTACATTGGAAAATAAGAACTGACTTGGAATGACATAATTTTTATTAAAGTAAGTATGTAAAGTAATTCCTGTCATTTGGTGCAGTGTCAGGCCACTTTACAATACTTTTTAAAAAATTAATCCCAAATAAATTTTCAAGGGTCTATGTTGGGATTTGAACTGAAAACAACCTTTTTATTATATAAGTAAATAATTATTTAGTAAAAATAAAATTTGGAAAATTCAAATTGGAATTGTAGTCTGTTTTAAAAATAGTCAAAAACACTTTTTTTGTTTAATATTGTTAATACAATGTCTTCATATAAATCTTCTTAAATAAAAAAAAATCGATAATCAATAAAATTGGCTCCCCTTTGAATGAGAGTTGCCAAATTTGAATGATTGAATAACTAACGAAGACAATGTGCCAAAATAGTAAACAGCATTATTTGTGAAAAAAAAATCAGTGGTTAAAATATAAAGTTTGGCTGAAATTATAGGCATTAAATCCTGCTAACAGTGCTGAAGAGACTTGGGGCTATTTTTAATGCTGACACTATATTTTTAGACCCTGAAATTGATGGTATGAATTAAAAGTAAGCAAGTGACAACCTAGCATTGATCTTGATAATGTCAAGTTTTCAATTAGGCAGATTTTGTTATTAATAATTTGACAGTAAAGAAAGAATTAGCTAAATGTTAAAAGTCGGTAGATAGAAACTATTTGGCTCGATATCGACTGGCCGTCCAGATGGTCAAAATTAGAATTCATTCCAGCGTTATATTCTTGTGGGACATTAAATTAATGAGTTCAGATCAAGATCAGACACTCGTATAATGTATAACTTTATTTTAATCTGATACTTTTTTACTGGCAGAAAGGAGAGACACTGGAAACACAAATTGAAGACTATTTCATTTTTAAATGGATTAGAACTTTATTTTATTAACAAGTTTGCATTTGTGAGAATAGACTGCTTAAAAAAACCCACAAAATATATAAAAAAGTGAACTAATTCTGTCATACAATAGGCTTTAACATGAAACTACCCATTGGGTGTTGTGGACAAGAGAACCGCTGTACAATACTTTTTCCAAATTGAAATAAAATTCTAAACTTTATGCTGGGATTTGAACCCACAACCACTCATATGAGTCCTTAATCACTCGGCTACCTCAACTTCAACATACTAACATATTTATGGAGTATGAACTCCTAAAAACCTTAAACAGAGAAGCCAGATTGGGCCTGAAATGCATCAGCATTAATAAATAAACAAAAAGGTTGAAGCAGTTCTTGATTTATTTATCAATCCGAATAAGGAAAAATCAACCAAAAAAGAAGGAAGATGAATAGAAGATTATTATCTATATATACATATATGATAATTTCAATTAAATATTCTTTTTATCTCCACCAAGACCTTAGATAGAATATTTTATTGAAATAATTTATATGGTCATATAAGGATTAATATATGATAATAAAAAACAAGACAAAATAGAAGGGATTGTTTAGAAAAGGCTTTTTGTTGTCAGATATCTGTAAATTGGTCAATGATGACATCTACTACAAAGAAGTAAAAGTTTCTTTTAGATGCCAAATAAATCTGGCAGTACTCCAACCTGGAAGATCCAACATCAGGCTTAATTGAAATTAACAAAGAAAATAAATTAAAAAATGATATTGAGTTTTTATAGTGTATATATTTTTAAAATAGAAGTACTCGATTGATCTTTAATTTCAGCTTTATTGATTTATTATTGAAATGATTGCAATAGACTAAAATTATTTATACATAACTCCAACCATCACTTGTGTGTATTATGTCGAATATCTGTTTTTGAAATAACTCCCGGTTAAGAGTTCTTTAGGTATTTTAGACACCTTCCTTAACGCGTTTCTTAAGGGCCAAATTGCCTTCAATACTTGATAAACAGTTTTGGCCCAACAGGCTGTCCCTATTAGAAATACGGCATCACACTGTTCAGAGCCCCACCACTTGACTTCTGTCCAAGTCTCGCCGGCCAAAGCCAAATCCCCGGCAGTATCAACTTTCAGCTGGGCGCCCTCATTTAGAAAAATAAAAGGGTCGATTATTGAATAGGTTTGTTTTTTAAATGAATATTCCAAGGAGTGTGTGCTTTTGTGTTCAATTACTGTTATTTGGAGTTTTGAACTTTTTATTGATGTGTAAGTTTTGTTTGATCTTAACAAATCAAAAAAAGTATGATTTGAATAAACATATTAACATGTATAGGTATGATAAAATATATATTCAATCTAAACACATACGGGTGTAATGAATTTTATTACTTATTTTCATTTTAGTAAAAAAATACAAAAAACGCTGAGTGTCTTAAATTTATATGTATAAAAATTAATGAAGGTTGAAAAAATTGGTATTAAATGAAACTGTTATATAGTTTTACAGTTCATTAGATTTATTTAGTGACTTAGTTTAGAAACCAGCCAATGAATTCTTTAGTTTTATTTAAAAATTTAAAATAATTTTGTATGAAATTTTTGCAAATATATATATTGCATCACCATTGCATTTCTATCAATTATTACTTATTTAAAATCGAGACCTAAGTAGTGTATTTCTAATGCTGAAATTGAACATTTAATTATTTTTTATTAAATAGTATCTAAAGAAATAATAAAGATAAAAATTGAAACATTGAAAAACTAATTGTATATATGCAACATGGTAAAAGTAAAATGTTTTACAATTTTTTTAAAAAATCAAATCAAGATGTGAGAACATATTTTTGCAAATGTTCAATTTCAGCAATAGAAATACACTACTTAGGGCTCGATTTTAAATAAGTAATAATTTATAGAAATGCAATGGTGATGCGATTATTTAGATGCAAAACAATCCTCGACACAGATAAAAATATTCAACTATACTTAGAATGGATTTTCTTATGAACTTTTTTATCAATTTAGATTTTAACGATCATTTGGAGATTGTGAGATCATGGTGACCAGACCGCATCTCACGATCTCCAAATTAACGGTCACTAAACACCACACATTTAGATTTTAACACTTAATTCCTATTTTTGGCAAACGCTAGCAATTTTGTTATCAAGGAAAAAATGTTTGGTTTTCAAAATACCATCTTTTAACAAAATATTGGAATGAACCAAAATTAGTTTAGGTAAGATGTAACAGCAAGGATCTAACCAGAGCAAGACAAGACCCCACTCCTATTTATGTAAATTTGTCAAATGCGAAAAGATTCAATATTGAGGTAATAAAGTTGTTAGTTTAAACATTACACTTTCAAAGATTACAAAATTATTTTAGACATGTGTATAACTAAAAATAACTAACTTTATTGTTGACTTTCCCATTTAAGAATTTAATTTTTTTTTTTTTTGCTTTGTCTTGCCATCTGTAGACATCTAGTCATGGGGAAATTTAAAACTTGCATAAATTAAATTTACTTCCATGATATTTTAGGGTTCTTTTTATTAACCTTAATTTTAGTGTCACATTTTATTTTATGTAACTAAAATATACATCAAGAGTAATGTGTAGTATTTCACTTGCAACACAACACACAACAGTGACACATCTGCACAGAAAACACACAATATGAGCCCTGAAGATGATCTAAATAAAGATTGAAACGTTGGCACAATAAAGAAAATATTTTTCTAAAACTACATCCCACAAGACCGCATCTCACGATCTACAAATAATTATTAATAGTAATAACACATTTCACAAAGTATTGCCTATTCTAAAGAACTGAGTATGTTATCTAATGCTTTTTCCTGCTCATTTGATGTATTTGTTGTCATGTAATAAGGAAAGCACGTAGGTTTAAGAAACGTGAAGTTTGAGCTTTACCTAATAATTAAAAAGACAAAACGTTGGTTAAAATATATTTGTAAATGCATGTTTTGCTTACAACCTCTACAATCCTTACTTTTTTTTTAAACTGTAAAATGTATAATAGAGATAATTTATTTTTTAAATTAAACTGGCATGCTTTAAAGGAGGCTATACTAACGTATTAAATTGGATCTAATAAATGATAAAATAATTATCAAAAAATACATGTACATAAAAAGTACATACATTATGAATTAGATTAATATATACGATTTAGACTTCATCGTCATCATTATTAATTTCTTTTGATAGGATTTCTGGCTTAATCTCACAAAACAACCTCTTTTTAGAATCTTGCTATGCAGTTGAAAGATCGTCTGACATTGATATTATGAACCTTGATTTATTTTTAAATTGGTAATAAAACAAAATTATTTATTAAGTGATATTTAAACATAATATGTTTTCTTTTTTTCTCATTATTGACATTGAAAAATGGTTAAGACTGAATGAAGTGCAATTTATTTTACACATCTTGTCAAGGCCTCTGAATGGTGCCAGTTGGTGCATAATTATTTTTGGCTTTTTACAGAAATGAAATCACTGCCATTATATTTCTCAGTCATGCTATAATTCAGAAAAAATATCTCTATATTTATAATTTTTATTCCCTAGTTTTCAATAGGTAATACTGTAGTCTTATGTCAGTTTTGAGTGTTTTTATAATTATAAAAATGGTTTTGTTTAATTATTTTAAAAAAGAACTGGGAATTTTATTTGAAACTAACAAAGTCTAACAAATACACATGCGGGGCATGATAATTTCATAGTATTGAATAAATTGTCACTTTATTTTCATTTTAGACAAGTACTGATGGCTGCCACGCATCACTAAACATTCCAGAGGCATTTCCAAAAGATGCAGGTCTATACACAGTGACGGCCACTAATACGTCTGGCTCAGTTAGCACCACATCTCAGGTACATTTGCCAATTGTTAATTAGGGATTTATCAGAGCTGAAAGAACCCTGATCTGAATATTTCGTTCATTTTTAACAGGTGACAGTGAAAGGAAGGCTCCCGTTGGAGTCTTCTGACACTGATCTACAGTCTGACATGGAACCGACAAAACCCAATGTGCAACTTCATTTAAAGGACCAATCTGTGTTCGAGGGAAAGAAAGTCAGATTGGACTGCGTTATAATCGGAGTCCCAGAGCCAGAGGTATTTAATACAGAGATAATATACATTATTCATCTTAGATTAACCCAAATTCTCCGGTATTTTTAGCCTTCATAAAGAAGCTTAGGTCTGGTATATATGCCTAGAGACATTTTAGCCTTTGATGGCAACAAGCCAAAATATTATTTCAATTTGAAAATAACTCATTGAAAAATAAAGCAGATTTTATGCACAATTTCAGGTGATCTGGTATCACGACGACCAACCTGTTAAAGAATCCCCAGATTTTCAGCTCGTATTTCAGGGCGACAGGTGCTCATTAATCATCCAGGAAGCTTTACTGGAGGATGCAGGCCACTACAAAGTAGTTGCTTTAAATTCTATGGGAGAAGCAAGCAGTCAATGCACATTAATAGTACAAGGTAAACACAGAAAAAATTAACTTTTTGGCAGCAAACAGTTTCATAATTTAAACATATAAAAACTTTATTATAATAAATAAAAAAAATAATCATTATAAAAAATTAACAGAAGAATGTATAATTTTGGTACATAAATATTCCCTTCAGCCTTGCAAAATTTCTCACACTGTCTAAACTCATGTTTGACTGATATTAAAAAAATAAATAAATCAAAAATAAATAAATAAATCAAAAATAAATTTAAAAAATAAATAAATGAAAAAAGACTCGAACCATCAAAAACAAATTTTCCAAAAATCCAAGATTTTCCTTGTTATAAAAAATAGTGCGAGTACAGCAGTTAGTTTTTTGTGGGTCCCAGGTCACTGTGGTATAAAAGGCAACAAGGAGGCTGACCGAGCAGCGAAATGTGCTGCATCGAATGGTATTTACATGCCGGAAGTGCCATGTGAAGACTTTGCTGTGTTTCTTAAAGGAAAAATTTGGAACCTCTGGCAATCGGAATGGCGAAATATCGAGGATAACAAACTCAGAGAAATTAAGGAAAGTGTCAGACAGTGAGTAACGGCAATGCAAAGATCTCACAAAGAAGAAACCATGCTGGCCAGGCTCAGGATAGGTCACACAAGACTAACACATGGTTACCTAATGACCAGAGAACCTCCCCCAAGATGCACAACTTGTAGTGAAATAATCACCATCAAGCATATTCTGTCAACATGCAGAAACTACGAAGACCTTCGGGTCAAACATAAGCTTGGAAACAGTGTGACCGAAATTTTGAAAGATTCCCCAGCTAACATTAGAAAGATTTTTGAGTTCCTAACTGAAACTGGGTTGACCGATAAATTGTGACAAACAATGAGTAGGAGGCCAGGGCGGCCTTGGGTGCGGGTGCGGCTCCTGGGGGGCCGGTGCCGGGGGTGGGTGGAGCTGGCCTCTGGGTTGAGTTTGAACCCCGGAACTTGGGAGGGCTGCGGATGCTGGCACACCATGCACAGCCCTCTGAGAAGTCTGCCACTGTCTCACCACTAAGGTCTTGTGTGGAGAGGAGCTGGTCTGGGTGTCTGGTTCTTGCCTGGTCTTGTGGTGTCCGGTTCGCTGTGGGGGTGTGCCCGCTCTTGTCCCTGCCCCTCCTTGCCTATCGCTCTCTGTTTTCTTCTCTCATCGATTAATTCATCATCAAGGCAGTTTTGACCATCGTGGTTGTATGCCTTTATAATTAAATAAATTAAAAAAAAAAAAAAATTTATCGCTGTACAATGGGGTCTGATCATCATCTGTAAGGGGAAAATTTCATTTTTTCTGGGATTCCATGGCTTTACTTCAGAAAAACTACAATAATCCCAAAACAAAAATTGTTACAAAAAAAAAATCCAAGAACACTGTTGAAATGTACTTTACATTTTCTTCTGGTCTACTGGTCAGATACATGAAAGTTTTTCAGGTTAAAGTTGTATCTACTTGAAGAGTTAAAAAAATTCTGAATTAGAAGAAATTCAGGGGTTTTTAAAAACATCATTTGCAAACCAAGAAAGCAGCAAATTTTACATTCTCCATTTAATAACATTTTGAATGGTGTAATTACTTTTTTAATCCCTTTTTTTCAAGCAAAGATTTTACTTAAAGTACTAGTAGAAATTGAATCTCTCCCTTTTTCATCCCCTCATTTTTGCTGTTCGTAATGAATCTCGGATTTCCTTAAACAATTGTAGTTAGTAACAAACAAGTCGTAAATCCTGGAAAAAGTGAAATTTCTGCCTTATGGCTAATGATCAAACCATTGTACAGGGGAACATTTTTGTCACTCTGAAGGTGTGAAATTCACTGGCAAAATTTGTGATGCAAGTAGCCAACACCCTTTGTAAATGTCAGACTTTAATAAGCTATAATAATTTTAAAAAATTTTGTATTAAATTACTTTTGGAAATGTTGTTATTTGAATTTATGATTTAAAATGAAATACACTTCGTTTTGTATAAAATAACGTTTTATTAATGTTAAAGTATATTTATGTATAATCCTTAAATTTAAATGAAAGTGTATAATATTTTTCAGCTGTTGATAAATCTGGTGAGCATCCGACACGAAAATCAGCGAGTAGTGAGGCACTAATTGAAGCTGAAAAGAAAACAGAAGGAATGCCAAGGTTCTCTCAACTCCTGACAGACCTTTTAGTAGTTGCTGGCGACACTGTCCAATTTGAATGCACTGTCACTGGCCAACCGATGCCTACAGTTTCATGGTCTCTTAACAACAAAGAACTTGTACAGTCTGAAAGAGTTCATGTACGTAAACTATTCAAAATTTATTTGATACATTTTTTTTATATGATTTTATATTTTAGATGAGTCAAGACATGGAGGGTCATTGTTTGCTTAAGGTTTCTAATGTTACAAATGAAGACAAAGGAGTTTACACTGCAAGAGCAGCAAACCAGCAAGGAGAGGTGAAATGCTTTTCTCATCTGACGGTCAAAACACCTCTGACTTTGGAATCAATAAAACCTCAAGCTGAAGAAGCAACATGCGCACCTTATTTCACCGAATTGTTTGCTGACACTTCAGTACCCGAGGGAGGGGCTACAAAATTTGAATGTATTGTCTCAGGGAAGCCAACTCCAAAAGTAAAATGGTTCTTTAATGATCAGCCAGTCTCAGGAAAGGATTTTCTAGTATCTACATCTGGCAGTCGGCAGGTTCTAAGCATGCCATCAGTTAGTAAGTCTCTTGTTGGAAAGGTTAGCTGTACTGCAGAAAATGAAGCTGGGAAAGCAACATGTGTTGCCAATTTAACCCTTTCAGGTATAAATTTAATTGTATAATAATGACAAAAAGGTTTTACTAATTTGTTTCAAAATATTTTGTTTCCGCGCACAGAACCATCATTACAAACATTCTTACCACGTATTGAGGATATTAACTTGGACACTGGTGTTTTTGAAATGAAAAGGGCTGTTTTTGTTCAATCCGAATCTTCCAGCCATTTCTCTTCTTCTACCACTCATGGTGGACATGAGCCAGTTGTTAAGGTACAAAGTACGATATCAAAGTCTGAGGTTGCATCTCATAAAATCGGAGACAAACCTGCAGTACAAGTGAGTTTTCATTTCCTATTGAAAATTATATCATTCTGTTTATCATGGTATTGCTCGTTTTCTTAGGTTGAATCACACAAAACATCCCAATACAAAAACATAGATGGCGTGGAGTCAACAGAGGAATCTGAAGTCTTTAAGTCATCGGGTACTGAATCATCCCCGAGTGATAACCTTAAAAAATCTTCAAGTGGTCTTGTGATCGCCAAGAGAAAAAACACTGCTCCGAGATTCATTTCTCCTCTTAATGGATGTATCGTTGATCAAGGTGCAGATGTTACACTGACAGCTATTATTGAAGGTTATCCAACACCAGAAATAACATGGGCAAGAAACGGTGGCCCTGTTCCACAGGAGAGTGAAACAACCTATGAGTTTGGCAAAGCAGTTTTAAAATTGAAAGATGTAAAAACGCAACATGGCGGTAGATACACTTGCAATGCTGTAAACGAAGCCGGATCAGCTACAGCATCAGCAGATGTTGTCGTTAAAAGTATGTATTTTTAATCAATATTTATTTTTGTTTGATTCATTTTCTAATTCTTTTAGAAAGCCAATTTCCTCCTGTATTGGGAAGAAGATTGCAAGCTAGGACTGCAACTGTTGGTGAAAGAGTGGCTTTAGAGATTGAGGTCACAGGGACACCAACACCAACAGTCACTTGGAACAAAGATGGACAGTTGATTCGGCCAACTTCTACAGCATTCAGGATCATTTCTCAAGGCAATTGCCATATTCTGATTATTGACAAAGGTATTTCTATTTCACACACAATTATCTGACAAAAATTAATACATGTGATTTCCCAGTTGACCATATCCACACTGGTCAATATGGAGCAGTAGCAGTAAACAGTGCTGGTGAGGCCAGAAGCACAGCAGACTTGTTGGTCGTTGACCCCCATCCAGAAACTGGACAGCCCAATCTCATCTTTACAAATGTTGTTAGTATATAGATAATTTATTAAATCTGTCAAAAAATTATTTCAATTTTGTGATCAAGGTGGAGGCACTAATTAAAAAATTGTATAAAAATCACATTATTTGTAGGCAAGACTAACTTCACATCTTGGTCATAATCGACAGCACTTCTTTGTAAATACACATCAGTTTAGATAATCCAAAATTAAAAATGTTATCAATGCTAGTCTGCTTTTTTTCATGTACTGTGCTGAACTGCACAGTTACACCAAAATTACATATATCGTTAGAGTTTGATTTTATTTTATATTTTTATAAAGTGTATTTATTAAATTAAAACCTAATTTCATAATACTTTATGTTATCACTTCAAATTACTTCACAAGGAAATATTAATATGGTCAATTATGGCCACTAAACAAATATAGATTGTTCTTATTAATTGTACGGATTTATTTTATGAAGTACATGAAATAATGCAGATTTTAGTTGACAATATTTATTTTTTTCTGTAAGATATTAAAAGTAAGATTATGGAAATGTGCAAAACTTTGACCACTTTAAGTTGATTTAAGTAAAAGCAATATGGCAGATCATTTAAAGTTCATGAAAGTGATTCAAGAATTAAAATGTTTATTTCACAAATTAGGGGGCTTCAGGTGATTTGAGTGTTCAGCCGCAGACAGTTTCAACTATGAATATGCCACCTGGGGGTGGCATGGTTGTGTCAGAAAGTGTGAAAAGTGAGAAACACATCTCTATGAAAGTGCATAAGACAGATATGTCTATGGACGAAGTGAAGGATTTAAAAAAAAACTTTGCCAAGACTGAGACTTTCCAAAATTCGAAAGAATCTTTCCCAAAACAGACTGAAAATTACCAGAAATTCCCTGAACTCATGGATATCCCAAAGCCGACATTTGATGCATCCAAGTTTGACCTGCAGAAATCGTCACTAGAAAAGATTGAAACTTCCCTCCATCCATTTACTCTCCCAGATTCATCATTTGAGAACAAGAAGTTTGAGCAAAGTTCATTTGAATCTTTTCAGACACAGACTTGTGGCACGAAACAATATGATCCTCCAACCAGTTTTGCTTCAGTCAAACCACCGTTTGAGGTAAAACCGTTTAAACCAGAAGTGCCAAAAACTGAAGATTTAGTCACTGATTCCATTTCAACTAAAAGCTCATTGGAATTTTTTAAATCAATAATAAAGGAGAATGAAGAAAATAAAAATAAAATATATGAACCAAAGCCTGTAAAGCAAGAATACACGAGTTCCTTTGCTGCTGTCAACTCTTCTTATTTGAACCAATGGAAGGATAAAGTAAATGAGCCTGAATTCATCCTAGAACCTGGCCCACCCCCAGAAATGGGATACATTCCAGAAACATTCGCTACCAAAGTAAAAGAAGACATGGTTGACAAGGCCAAGAAGCTAGAAGAGTCACAAAAAGATCTAACAAAAGGTGAAATTCCTTCAGGCGGGGTTAGGATATTTCCCACTAAACCTCAATCACCAGTGATTGTTGTTGAAAGGAAAACAGAAAAACAAGAAAAATTCCATGATAATGTAAGCTTGTCTTTTGTTGAACCACCAACTCCAGTTTTGAGGCCTTCTGCAGACATACAAGTGAGGCCAACTTCTCCAAGGCCATCTGCTGAAGGAGTTTCAATGGAAAAACTTTGGGCGAGTAAGAAAGAAGAACTAAAATTCTCTTCTCCAAATGAGTGCAAACCTGTTTCTCCTTCATTTTTATGCGATAGACCTAGATCACCCATGCCTTCAACAGATGGTCTAGCAATGGATAAGCTCTGGGGATCTAAACATCAAGAAAGTTCTGTCACCAGTGCCTGGCCTCCTCCTGGAGTCCAATCGGAAACAGTATCAACTTCTGTTAAGGAAGAATCACACCATTCATCACAGTTTACATCTTTCCAAACACAAACTGTGTCAAAGCAGCCATCTCCACCAAGAGAAGTTCCTCTCGTAATGGGCCCCAAGATAATTTATGTTGCAGAAGCACATACCACACATAAAGCAAATTTGAACACTTTTTCCAACCGTTCTGAATTTTATGATTCAAGCACATCTCAGGTAGTTACTGAAAAGACAATAACTCCTTCTGAAGCCAAAAAATTGTGGCAGCAACCTTCAGTTGAACCTGCAAAACCTAAAACGGAATTCAAACCTGTTAAGCAATTTACCCCTCAATTGGATGATTTACACATTGAACCAGGCCCTCCACCGGAAATAGGTTTTGCTACACCTCCTCCTAATGAAAGACGACAGTCTTACGTTGAACAGATAGAGCAGGAATTAGAAAAAGATCTTGAAAAGCCTCCTTCCAGGCACTTAGTAGGTGCAGTTAGGTGCATGCCACCTCCAAAGAGAGAAAGTTCAGTCGAGTCAACAAAATCATCCCATTATGAGAAAACAGAGTCATTTTCAAAGAGAATTGAGAAAAGGTCAAGTTCTTTCTGTGACGAATCAACATTTAAACCTTTCCCTGTTTTAGAACCATTTCCCTTTAAGCCTGAAACTGTAAAACAGAGCCCTACAAAGTTTTCAACTGTTCCCAGGCCTTCAAAGTTTCAGAAAAAAGCTACAGAAAGTGATTATGAAAGTGATTTGGAAGGTTCTAAAATTAAGGCAAGGTGGACTCCTTGGGATAGTGACACTGAAGAGCCTTATTATAGAAAAGTAAAACCACCATCATTTGAACATACTAGACGGTCCCAATCCGCACAACCGGAACCACCTCCACCTTCAGCTTTCTCCCAACCTCCATTGACATTTGATTCTAAAACGACCTGTTCGAGCAAACAGACAAAACACATGGAAATCCAACAATTCGGAATGCAGAAGATGCACAAATTGGAAACTTCATCACAGCAAATTACCGCCAAACCATGCTCACCCCCAGTGAAAGCAAAGCCAGAAACTCCGAAACTTCAGAGGCACCAGGTTCAGGATTCGGGCTACATGGCAGATACAGATGAGCCAAACAAGTTTGTCAGACAAAAACCTAGCATGTTTAGGACCGAAAAAGTTGAAAGTGCCAAGAAACAGCTACCAACCACTCAAGTGCACAAGGTTTGCGTTTTGTTTTGCTTTGCTAAAAAACTCAAAACATAACACTGCACTTGGTGATTTTATTCAAAATTTTTGTTTATATAATGAATAATAATTTATGGTAGTGAATATTAACACAGTTTCGTAAAAACACTTTTGTAAGTGAGCAAATAAAAATTGCTAGGTCACACTGAAAACAATATTCATTAGTGTGTTATATAATTAATTTTTGTGTTTAATAAGAATTAAACAGGTTTTTAATAAGAGCAATTACATTTATACAAAGTGAGGAAATTAATTAATTAAACTAAATTTGTAAAATATGAAATTTTTTCCATAATTAAAATTTTTGTACATATAAGTTTTCTGGATAAGTTGCCAACTTTTTTCCTAAATTTGTTATCAGAACTTCACTCTAAATATTCTATCACAATTTCTCTTTCAAGATGATACATTTTTTGGGGATTATTAAGTAAAACATTTCAAATTCAATATATTAAAATTGATTGATTGATTCTTCCAGGGTTTTTTTTAAATGAAAATTTAGCTATTTCATTTTGAATTACTTTTAATTCTTTCTTTCAAATTAAACACAAAACTTACAACATTTTTTATGGTAAAAGGAGAAAGCTGACCAAATTTAGAACTGAATTACCAGAACAGAATTTTTTAATAACAAGATTGCTGTGTATTTAAAAGATTTAACAATTGACATTTAAAATTGAATGAAGGTAACAATTAAAATTTTATGTTTTAGGAAACTCAGTTTGTAACTAAACAGGTTGTTATGCCAAAGCTTGAGCCATTCCCATTCAAGCCATCTGCCCCTAGTCCAGCACCACAAGTTACAGTTCCGCTTGTATCGCCTTCTAAATTTGTAAAAGGAGATTTCAAAGAAAGCGATTATGAGAGCGATTATGATACAAGAATACCTCCAATATGGGGACAAGGCTCAGAAAGGGCATTCAGGCCTGTAAAACCATATCTCTCTCCTGCCCCATCAACGACACCAAAGGGCAGAGAACCAACACCTCCAAGCCAGTTTGACAAACCACCGTCGTTCGAAGGTCCTCCTAGGCCAAAATTCGAGCCGATCGAAAAGCCAAAGGCAGCAGCCATGGACAAGAAGATACACAGGCCACAGCCGCATTACTATGATCTGAAGCCTGGCTCACCGCCTAAGATGGATTTTGCACCACCAGTAACTGCAGTGGAAACATCGAACACGATGAGTTTTGCCGAATCGACTGCCAGCAGTCAAAGGGTTGTCAGCATGCAGCAAACGACACGCGTCATCAGCTTTGATCAGAAAAAAGCTACTAGGCAGACATCAGTGCCAGTCAAAGTCGTGCCGAAAGGAGAGATAAAATATGTTTCTGACAATGAATCCGAATCAAAATCAATAGATCTAAAAGCAGAGGAAAAAAGGCTACAACGAGTGGAGGAAATGAGAAAACGATTCGGAGAAAGGTCCCAAAGCCTCATTGAAATCAAACCCGGTGAGCCTCCCCAGTTTGATTATGCACCTCCAAGAGTACCTGCAGTTGCTGCAAGTAAGTTTTTTAAACAAAATTTTTAATCTTTTTAATATTACACATAGTAAATACAAAACATAAGCAGGATCAACTGAATAATTAATTAACATTATACTTTTTAACTAATCATTATTAAATAAATTATTGCAATATGTGTTAAACATTTTTACTACCAAACCTTAAAAAAATACAAAATTAAAGGTTAATTTAAATATTAAAATGTTTAAAATTGAAGGCAGTCTGTATTACTATATTTTGTTATTATAATTATTATAATGTATTTGTTTTTTAAGGTGTAGCGAATAAACACATAAATGAGATGACATCTACTTTCAAAACGAAAGCGCAACAGTTTGTCTCTGACGTTGTGACGGAAGTGAAGCAAAATGGAAAATCTGAGACTTCCAATCTTTTATTAAAAGAGAAAGATGACCCTCAAGTCTACAGGGAGGAGACCCGTACATCAGAAAAAGGTAGATGTACAAAACAACACGATAGTAATTTATTATTATTTTATTTATTTTTATATTCCACTCTTGAGCTTTTTTTTTATCAAAATTGTCTAATATATTTCACCACTAGGAACAAAATGTATTGACCCAGATACAGGTCTTATTTACTTCAAATATGACTTTGGGTATGAATTTGGAGTGATACTCCCTGGGGAAGGAGGGATGAAAGGTGTCAGCGGGGGAAAGCCGGTTAAAAGCCTTACCCCAGGAAAACGACCCAGCGAGCGCGAAGATGGGTCAATTGAGGTCAAAGTCATCCATGAAAAATCTGCTACGTCACAGCAACAACAGAAGAAGCATGGTTTTAAAACCATCAAGTGGGACCCGACCTCTGAATCCGAGATGTCCGATGCCGAAGATGCAAAAAAGAAGGCTTTTATGCACCATGGACCGAGAATCACAATCCCCGCAACACCAAGCCCTCTCTCCATGTCGCCAAGCATCTCGCCCTATTACACACCAACGGCCCATGAATCCCAAGGTCATTTGGTGTTGCTGCTTGGTCTTTAGTTTGATGTGAAATAACTGTACTTTTCAAACTAAATTGCTTTTCAATTTAATAAATACAAAGAAATACAGTTTAATAAGGCACACAAAGGAATATTTTTTCCAAACTCATATAATTTTGTTTTCATTAACACACGTTTTTGCACTAATAAATTTATGTAGATGGTTGTGTGGATGAATTTATGTGTTGATGTCTGAAAATATAACATATAAATATGGTTCTTGTATTTTGATGAATGCTCATGCAAAAATATTTTTTTATAATATTTCACTTAAAACATTTCTTCTTTTAGACTATTTAGTGTGACAAGTTATTTTTTAAATTCTAATTATCTATTAAATATTTTCTTAAGTTGAAATATAATGAGGACGTTTTTTCTAAAAATCACTGGCGTAACTATACTTACAGCAGCAGTTATATTATTGTTGATTGTTTTTTTAAAATGAAAACATGTAAAAAAAATCAAGTTTGTACATAAGAAAATTAAAAATAATATATGAGAATTAATAATTTATTCAATAAAATAAAAAAATGCTTTAAATGATGAGAACCTGTAATCTAGGTTTCAAGTTTACAAAAGAAAACTGCAATGTGAAAACTTAATGTGATGACAAAGCTTTTTTTGAAACTTAGATTTAGCACTGGTATTTCTTTTTCTATTTAGAACTAAGGCTAAAAATGGTTTAATCAAATAATCTGCTTATTTTATTATTTTTTAAAATGTTTTATTTAACACACGTGTTTTTTGATTGACTGTTTCGTAGCATGAAAATTATTAATATTGTTAATTATTAATGAAAATAAGATTCAATATTTTTTTCAGGGGCTACACATTGGACGAGTGCTATGTCACCAACACCATTGAGTGCACCGGTTGTCGTGAATGCCATGTTGCATAGCGAGGCACCCAAGAAACCCCCCATGTTTATTACTGTAAGTTTATTTTGCATAATTAAATTGAATGATTCTATCTTTTCTATTTTCATTTTTTTCAATAGCCACTCAGAGATATCGCCGTGATTAGTGGTCAGACAGCGAGATTTGAGTGCATAGTACAGGCAGAGCCAGCACCGAATATCATCTGGGCGAAGGATGGCCGTCTAATCGAACCGTCGCTTACACATGACATCTTGTTCAGAAACGGTGTCTGTCGACTCACGCTGCCTCAGGCTTTCTCTTGTGAGTTTGACTCTTGTAAATTTAAAATTCTTTAATTATATTTGGGTATTTTTAAATTGACTGGTTACATTACAGATGATGCTGGCACATATACATGTACTGCGACTAACAATTTAGGCTCGCAGAACACAAGCTCCACCCTCCAAGTGTCAGGTGAGGAGAGAACTTTCATCTCAAAATAAACCATTTAAAAAAAAATGCACAAAACTTGTTTGAAAATAAAAACAGTAAACATAAAAGAAAATCTGGGGGTGTTCTTTTACAATATATAAATTTAAATTGGCAACTTTTACACAGGTTGTTTCTCGAAAACAAAAGAACCAGGCAGAATTTAAAAAAACAAAATCTTTATTCTGTGCAAAAAAAATGTGTTAGATATTAAATTATTTTATATTGATGTTTAACTTATTGTTTGTTTATAAAATAAATTTTTAACTTTAAGATTGCAATTGTGACACTGCCTAATTTCAGTATTGGGTTTTAATTTATGTTTTTACTCCCCCCCTCATTTTGTGTAATCAGGTTTAATCATTTCTAACAAATTGAAACGCACATAAACATAAGAAAAAATATCTTTTTTTGCTTTACCCTTCTTTATAAGTTCATTATTTTATCTTATATTTAAATATAACACAAGTGATTGTAACACATTTAAGCATTATTTATGTAATAAAAGGTCTAGTCATCCAGTTCTTTGTGGTGGTGGTTACTTTATTCTTACCTTTGACGGGGTGGGCACTAAGCACATATTATCCAACAATGACAAAGGTTAAATGTGACTTATGCCCACCCTCTGCTTACCTCTTCCTTCTTCTAGTTACGATCTTAATTTAGTTGGTGCAAGGTATGTACTCATTATTTCATAATTTTTTTTCAGTTTCACTGATATTAACCAATAGCATGATTAATAAATTACACTACTATTTATTGTCTAGTCGCTATCATTTTCACTTAAAAAAAATTAAGCAAATAAAACCACCCCCAAAATATATAACAAGCATGTTCTCCCAATTTGCCACAATTTTCTTTTTGGCCAATGTAAGAAAATATAAAATAAAATAAATTAATTAAAACATAAAAATATATATAATTAGGTAAAATGTGTTCCTTTGATCACTTATGAGTTAATGTGTGGCTTAAAAGGTGCAGATTGGTTTCATAAATATTCAAAAAGTTCAGTTTGAGATAGATTCACCCTCCGTAAGTTTAAATAAATACTTAAATAAATACATAAGTAACTGAAAGTAAATTGGCATAATCTAATAATAAGGTAAATAATTGTTATTGTGAATAAATTCAATGGAAAATTGAAACTGTGGAATGCTGCCAGTTTTCCTGATGAAAATAGAATCATGGTCTTTTCCTTAATACAATTTCTTAACAATTTATCAACTGATTTTTTTTTAGAAGCTTAGCCATGTTAAGCCATTAGTTAAATTTGGTTTTCCTGTTTCAACAATATCAAATCAATCACTCAATCTCAAACTTAAATTACTCCATAAGTTTATATTTCCAAAAATAGTAATTCTGTCTTATGAACCCACTGATTTCTCACTATTTGAACATTTTGTTTTGTTCTATTTTTCCTTGGCCTATCAAGTAATAACAGTATAGAAATGTGGCAGAAGTTAGCACAACTTTTGTGTACGTAGGTTCGATTCCCACCGTCGCTCTTGGAATTTTTGAACTGTCCTCTCCTCCAAAATATTGTTTATTCCAACATATACTGACCAATATAGAAGACTACTAGAAAATTTAACAATTTTTCATCTTTTCCCAGATTGATATTTTTTCCCAGATTGATGCAACTTCTTGTGTGCCACTCAAGACGTGAATTTAGGTTCATTATTATTTTTAATATATTACAATTAATTAAGGTTTTTAGTTGAGATAAAAAAATCAATGACACAAGCGGGATTTGAACCCACAATCTTCGGCTAGATACGCCGCTGCTCTACCACTTGAGCTATTGTGACCTCGATCCACTCGGACACCAACTCCCCATCTCACCCCCACCTTTTGAGTTTTCCCTCCTTTTTGCCATTTTTGGTCAAGTGGACCACGAAATTAGTGAATTATTTTTAATATTTGTAAATGCAGGATCTTTGACAGCGCTTGGCAAAATGTGCTAGCATCTATGAGGTGATTATTTCAGTATGATGATAACCTAGCAGCGTATGTTTATTTTTGATTGATTATATTTTAAATGGTGGTTTGTAACATCAGAGGTCATATCAACTCCTAGGGTATTTAAAAAAAGCCCATTTGTAAGTATATCAGGCTTGAATTCAGGGTCACTGGATTTGAACCTTGGACTTTTACCTAACAGAGGGAGCACCATGTCAACGCCTTAACCATTATGCCACCTAAAATCAATAAAATAATATCAATTTATTTGATTAATTTATGTTTATAAAGATATAAAAAGGTGATCACTGACAGCGACATCATAATCTTTTTATTACCCTTTTAACTTATTACTGCAAAACTAGCTGATAATTTTATATTGAACAAATATATAATTAAATGATGTGCACGGCAACACACAACATTTCATATATTTAATCAGTACTGCAAAAATAATGTGACATAACTATGTCTATGTCCTCCGTTTGATCATAAGGAACATGTCTCACAAAATTTGGTTAAAATCAGACCAGTAGATTTCGAGATTACCTCTTACAAACTTTCTCTCTTTATTATACATTTAATACCAACATTTATTAAAGAAATTTAAAAAAGCAATTATAACAAGTAAAGTAGGAAATTTTCATCAAACAGGAGGAATTAACTGTCGCCCTATACACTGATTTTCACAGAAGACAAGGGTTCATAACCAATTTAAAATAATTTTGTTCAAATTAACCTTTAAAAAAAAGTCAAAGAGCTATTGAGATTCAACCTAGAACCACTAATGCGGCAAATACAAGTTGGATAAAAAAAAATTACAACAAACTGGTGAAATTGATATCCCAGAGGGGAATCCTATTTATGTCAAACCAGCAAAAAATATACTAAAATGTAGTCTAAAAATTAAATTAGAACAACAAATTTATAGGATTATTTTTCATCTTAAAATTAGTTTATCAAGTTTATTTCTGTCCCTGCTTGTGGCAGAAAAAAACAACAAAAATGCATGTATTTGGTCAAAAGGGAAGTATATCATGTTGTAAAGGTCTTATGTACATCTACACTCACGTTGTTACCAGACACAAATGTCCCAAAACATATGAGATATATATATAAAAAAAAGAAAAAAAAGACGCCCTCCACAAAAATACAAATGTCCAAGAATAAACCAATTTTTTCCCTCTAAAAGCTATAATTGGTTGTTTGCGTCAAAACCTCTTTTTACCCTTGTTTGAATAATTTAACAGCATGTTTTAACACTACCTGGCTTATTAAATTAGAAAATATCTTTTGAAATATCCTACTAACATAGTAATTTAATCAATTTTATACATATTCTTCTTGTACACAACTAATATAATTTAATTTGACTATTTTTGCTTTCACTTTTTATATGATCATATGAACTATGTTCAAAATTGCAAATGCCTCAGTCACAGGTAATTTGCCTAAGGGAAGAAAATTGTATTTATTCATTTTTTTTAAAATAAATCTTCAACCGTTTGTTAGTATATATTTCACTCTCATCATCACACAATGAAACTGAACTGATTTTATTTATCTAAATCAAATTATCAATTGTCACATTGTAGTATTCAAATTGGAACAACAGATTCTGGTTAAAATTATATTTGGTACCAAGTTGTTTTCCCTTATTCTTAATCCCAGGATTACAACATGCAACATTAATTTTTTGCTGAAGTCCATTAAATAATAAAAACTTGTAATAATAAATTAATTTACAAAATTGTAAAACTTCTGAGCAACTATTGATTTGTAGATCTGATTAATTGGTCGTAAAGCAATTTTAAAAATCATAGATACTCAACTTTAACTATTAATAATTTCCTGAAATTTATAAATCCAAATGACACATTAAAAAAATCCAGTAGTCAAAATACTATGAAATGTTATATATGAGTTTGATTATTTCACATTCCTAGCAAGCTATTTGTGGCTGGTTCACTTTACACAAAACTTCGTTTATTGTGTTTCAAAACAGTGCAAAATTCTTGATACAACACTGAGAAAATAAAAATGTCTTTTCCAAACAAAGTTTAATATAGATTTTGGGCGGGGACGGAAAAATGCCTGGCATTAATCCTAACATTGCATTCTAAGTATAAAACAAATTTCTATTTGCTTTGCCAGAAAGCAACTTTAGTAAATACTCATTATTTTAAGGCCCTGGCTTTAATTTTCTATTTATGGAATGCGTGATTCAACGGAGAAAATGAACAAGGAATTAGGGACTAATTAATTTTTTTATTTGCCAGATTCACAAAGTGATTTGCCAGACTGTTGGGCCGATTATGACTGGGCGTCATCGTTAGAAACTGGTAAGCCAAAAGAAAATACTCAGGATTTAAAACGGTGGTGGCAAATTGTAAATTACAAAGTTCTGCAACAAAAGAATTTCTAGTGGAAGAAAATTGATACAAAGCAAATGGAAAAAAATGTATTGGTTATTAATGCACTTCCTTACAATCTGTCTTACAATTGTAAGATGACAGAAGTTCATTATAAAACAATTATATTAACAATCAGATCTGTCAATATACTCAGATCCTTCAACGGCAGGAAGGATAAAACAGAGATCTGATCCGAGACTACAACGTTCACGAGGGAAGTCGATAAGTCTTATTCCAATTATATTAAAAAATAATGCTCTTAAAATTATACAAAATAACATAAAACTGCAATTAATAATAGAGCAAAGAACAATGTTGTCTCTATCATTTCAATTTTCAAGAAATGATGTTATATTATCCATAATATAATTAAAAAAAAAAAAATAAATAAATATAATTAAAAAGAAGAAATATGTGAATTAAAAACAAAAAATGTAAATAAAAAGCCAACTAATATTACATTTTTCTGTTTAAATGTACATTCTTGTACATGAGAGTACGCTATACTATCGTAAAGTCAAAAAACGCAATTTTCAAAAATAATACGTTTAAATCAAGTAAAGTAAAATAATTCCTGAGGAGGGCTTAACATCCACACTCTCAGTGGGTGTTGCTGACAAGGGGTCACACCACTTTACAATTCATATTTCTATTATTTTCAATTAAAAAGCCAAGAGTTATGCTGGGATTCGAACCCAGGACCGCTAGTGTGGCAAATATGTTTCAAGCTCACTAACCTATCGGCCACCGCAGTCCCCTAAATAATATACTTACAGAAAACTTATTGGCAATATTGGAACTGTTTAAAATTTTGTTTTAATATTTATTTACAATGCAATATTATTTACGAAAAACCAGAAGGATAATGAAAAATATTTTTTGTTCAGAGCAAATAGCAACTTTCAAGCTCCTATAATGATTTCTTAATCAATCGTGATTCTTAATTTCATTTTAATTTGTTAACAATTGACAAATGATTAGTTAGTTATCATAAAAGTAATTTATGATCCACATGAATTTGTATAAGAGGTATCTGAAGCTGCTGACGTTTTAAATGGCTGTATGAATGATACTAGAGGTCATCCTAGATTTTTCTTACATAAAAATGGTTTTGCAAAATAGTTTATGTTTTATGCTTTATATTTCTTTATTTGATAGTTAAATTAATCTATCAACTAGACAAATTCTCAAATGTTTTTTCAATGGTCAAATTTTCTTATTTTGAATAGATATGTCAGTTTTTGAAGAAAAAATAATCCATCTGATATTCAAAGTAATACAATAATATTCAAATATTCAATTTAACAGTTTTGTTTTTGTTTCATAAAAGAGTTACACATAAAAAGTTTTGTTTGGTGATCTGTGAATTATAAAACTATAAACATTTTGATCCTCCCTGTCCATTGTGATGATGTATTGAAACAGTCAAAAATATAGGTGGAGTGTGAATGAAAATTATTTATTAGCCTGAATAGCAGGGTCTATTCCCAAATCCAAAGAATATTGAGTGCTTTTGTTTGTGTGAATGTAATTTATTAGCATGGTTGGAGGGACGTACGAGGAATAAAAATAGGGTGGCAATAGTTCTAAGGACCCAATATCGGACTGAACTGAACAATTAAAATTGAATTAGGACCTTTCTGATGTAAAATTGCATTGACATAACTATATCATAATATAGACATAAATAATTGGATTTTATTAACTACAGATAGCTAGCTAATCGTTATTTCTTCTTCGCCTATCTTCTTCCACTTGAATTTCAGAACAGCCCACAAAAGGAAGAACGTGAGAGACAACAATAGAAATACACAGAAAATGGGATTATTTTGTGAACAGTAATTTAGTTTGTACAACAAACTGACCATTAATGATGTGTTTGTTTACTATGTGGGGCAATTTAAAAAAAGGTAAAATATTTTATATTTTATAAAGAGATTATTTTATGCTATGCCAGAGGATGTCTATTAGTTCTGTGGAGACATGTCAAAGCAGGGCAAAAACCCATGAAGCTTATTTTTAAAATTTAATAGGCCTTTTTTAAGTGAGCCTAAACAGAAAAATCACTGGTCGTTCATTGACTCTAATGAGCTGGCGAAATGCCACGTTATTTCAGGTTGTGCCCTTTGTTGGACATTTTGGACAGGGTACCAAAAAATTGAGTTTATGGGTTTTTATTAACTTTAAGGAAGGTGCTTTAAAACTCCAAATATAAAACAGCAGAATTACAATTTTTCAAATATAGGTCCGACTTTGTATCAGGGTTTTTTTGTAAGCCTTATAAAGCAATCAATCTCATGGCAAAATCGATTATCCACTGAAGAAAATGGTAACTGAGAGTGTCAAGAAAACTTGACGCCTTTTTTCAAGACGGGCAGCCTTGGCAATCTTTCAGATGTGAGCCACGACGGCCGAGGACGCAACGGTGAAAATAAGTCCGACTGTATTTTTACATAATAGAAAAAGTTTTTATCGAGAGTAAATAACCATATTTTGAATCTAGAACTAAACCGTTTTGCCTGATTTATAATTGGCCAGTAATACAAAATAAATAAAAACGAAGTCGACATTTGAATAAACATCTGAGTTTCTAGGAAATCAAGGAATGTCATAACACTCTTTGATGTACAATGTTATTATAGAATATAATCTGGTGTTTTGCTCGTAGTATACAGGTGCAATTATTTTGATTATTTTTAAAACAAGACTACATCTACGATAAATGAATTTACACATTAATTGTATTTATTCATTATATTTTTACATTCACTAGATCTAGTCCTAGCGAAAACACTGACAATCGATGGTCAAAGATTAAAAAAATATCTACATTAATCTAGCTTATCATTTACGTATGTCAGGCAAAATTGATGTAAAATTTGTTTGTAGAAATATATAAAGAAATTTTTTTATTCCTGTAAAGAGAGATTGTTAAATATAAAGATCGTAAATGATCAATTCCATAAAGATTCGTTCCAGCTCTTCCTTTCTCTATCGTGCTTACAATCACTTTCTTTCCCTTTTTATCTCACTTTCTCACTCCCAGGTTTTCAGGAAAAAAGGTGTGTCTTATGCTGTATTAATTAAAATGTCAAGTGTCTCTCATTCTCTCTCTCTCTCTCTCCCACTCTCTTTCTCTCTTTCTCTCCCCTTATCTTGTTTTGTCCTTCTCTTACCTTTTCCCTTTATTCCACCCCCTCCCTTTTTCTATTTTTTTTCACCCACCCTTTTTATTATTATATTTTTCTCTTTCTCACAACCTCTTTTTTCTCCCCAAGGGTTGTATTCTTAACCCTCTTCTCCCTTTCTACTTCTCTCTTTATATCCTTCTCTTAACTTTTCCTTTTCTCTCACTCTCTATTATTCTATCTTTGTCTTTCTCTGACTCTCCTTTTTTCTATATTTCTAACCCTATCCTTTTTTCTATATTTCTTTTTCTCTGACCTTCCCATTTTCTTTGTTTCTCTTTGCTCTACTCTCTCTCTCTCTCTTTCTCCATACACCATTTTTGTAGTTAATTCTGTCATTTCTCCATCTCTCTCTTCCTTTCTCTCTCCCTATCTTTCACCCTCCTCATACACCCTTTTTTTTCTTTCACTCATTATTTTCCATCTCTCTCTCTGTTTCTCTTACCTTTTTTATATTCTACCTTCTCTTATCCTATTTTTCTCGTTCCTTCACTTATTATATCTTTCTCTTTCTCTTAATTTCTTTTCAGTCTTTCACATTATCAACCCATTCATCTTTATATTTTTCTCTTTCTGTTACCATCTTTTTTCCCAAATTTCTCATTCTCTCAACGTGCCTTTTTGTTTCTTTTCTTTTTTCCCTCCCGCATTCTTTCTTCTTACTCCTCTCCTTTCCTCTTTCTATCGGTTTCACCCTCAGGTACTGTTTTTTTTTGTTTCTCCTTTCTTTCTTTCCTTCCCTTACTTTACATCTCTTACATCTCTCTTCTCCTCCTCTTCACACACTCTCTCTTTCTCTCTTTCTTTCTTTCGCTCTAACTTTCTCCATACATCTTTTTTCCTAAATTTCTCATTCTTACACCTCTCGTTTCCTCTTTCTTTCGGTTTCTCCCTCAGGTACTTGTTTTTTGTTACTACTTTCTTCTTACCTTCCCTTACTCTATATCTCTTACATCTCTCTCTCTCTCTCTCTCTCTCTCTCTCTCTCTCTCTCTCTCTCTCTCTTTCTTTCTTATAGTAGTCTTTTTTCCTCACTCCCCTATTTAAAAAATATTAAACTTCACCTCACTTTGCATCAAATAAAATTAGATGTTTTTAAAAAATATAATATTTTGTTGCTTCGTTGCAAGTATAACATATAGAGTAATTTGACAATCGTGGATTGAATGCACAAATAATAATCGAATAGTTTTTGAAAATCTAAAAATGAGTAGGAAAGATGAGTATCACTGATGACTCAAGTACATATCATTTGGAATTACATGGAAACTGGCCGAGTTTGTTGGAAAAGAAGCGATTATCTGCCACTGAGGGAATTTAAGGGGCGCCAGAACCATTTTGCACGACGACTCATATTTCTTCTTATTTCTTACTCCGCTTTGAGTAGGAATGGTCTAAAACTCTGTTTTGATGCAATGGCTACGGGCCAGGAAGATACTAAATATGCTCCACTTTCACAATCCCTCTCAGATTCGAGTTACTCACCGACGAATTTAGATTACCCAGTCATGACCAAAGATAATCGAATTGAGAAGAGATCTACGGAAGTCAATCTGTACTTTGTTTTTCGGCACGGGGAAATGGCAATTCGCTTTTGGAAAATTCCCTTTAAACAGGAAGAACGATCCGACAGAGATCGTTTTTGAAATAGTTTTCTTGATCGAGACACAAAAATCTTTTTAAAAAGTTTACTGACTCCACACATTTTTAGATTGGCAGTTAATTGAGTGCGAAACTTGG